AACCAGCAACTCCGCATTCTCCCCTTGCCTTGGCCCCTGGTGACCACCGCCTGCTTTCTGGAGCCCTGAATTTGACTGCTCTAGGTACCTCGCATAAGTGGGACCTTATCTGTCGTTTTGTGACTGGCTTATTTCAGTTAGCACAGTCTCCTCAAGGTTCATCCGTGTCGTAGCACGTGCTAGAATTTCCTTCCTTCTTAACACCAAGTGATATTGCACTGTGTTTATAGCCACACGTTGTTTAGCCATTCCCTCCCTGGGAGACACCCGAGTTGTTCCTGCCTTCCGGCTACTGTGAATAATGTTGCGTGTGCACACTGTGCACGTCTCTGAGTCCTTGCTTTCTTTTCTGCATAGACCTAGAAGCGGAGTTGCTGTCTCACGTGGGAATCCTAGGTGTAATTTTGTTGAGGAACTGCCATACAGTTTTCCATAGTGACTATGCCATTTTACATTTCCACCAGCAGTGTGCGAGGCTTCCCACCTCTCCACGTCCACACTAGCACTTCTTGCTCTCTGGGGTGTTTTTAGGTGGTGGTGTATTGGTAATAGCCACCCAATGTGAGGCACTATCTCATTGTGGTTTTGCTTTCTTTCCACTTTCTCATAATTAGTGATGTTGAGCATTTTCTCATGTGCTTGTTGGCCACTTGTATTTCTTTGGAGAAATGCCTATCCAAATCTTTTGCCCATTGTAAAAATTGGGTTCTTTGGGTTTTTGTGTTCTTGAGCTATGGAAGTTCTTTCATAGTCTTGGATTTGAATCCCTAAAAACTGCTTTTAATTTTTTAAAATGTATTTATTTATTTGAAAGGCAGAGTGATATATATAAATACAGAGAGACCTTCTATCCGCTGGTTCGCTTACCAAATGGCTGCACCAGCCTGGACTGGGCCAGGAACCAGGAACTGCATCCAGGTTTCCCATATAGGTGGCAGTGGCCCAAGCACTCAAGCCATCTGCTGCTGCCTTCCCAGGTGCGTTAGAGCAGGGAACTGGATCAGAAGCTGAGCAGCTGGGACTCAAATCCATTCTCAGATGAGATGCTGGCATGGCAAGTGGCCGCTTACCCTGCTACACAAAGCAAAGCTCATGATTCTGAACTCTACTGGTACACTGTCTGGGGTCAGTGCTGCTCTCACCAGCACTGCCCACCCGCACCTCAAATGCCAGTCAATGACTGTCTCAAACCTGTTCTCCAACCAGAGCAGAAAATAGATAGAACTGACTACAAGATGTCTGTATGCCTGACTGTGAAGCAGCACCCTCTTCTACCCAGTTCCCAGGGAATTAAGCTTCTATCCCCAACACCCAGGAGAGCTGGTTTCCTGGTGGAGTCTGGGCTGGGAGTCCCAGGTAGGGAAGGCAGGTCCAGCAGTGACCCCCCTACTGCCCCCAGAGCTCAGCTTGTGCCCACCCCAGGCCCAGCTGGGACACACCCTCGTTTACCTCATCTCAGAAAAGCAATTTAGGGGCCAGCGCTGTGGCGCAGTGAGTTAAGGCCCCGGCCTGCACTGCCAGCATGCCATGCGGTCACCAGTTCAAGTCCTGGCTGCTCCTCTTCCGATCCAGCTCTCTGCTATGGCCTGGGAAAGCAGTGGAAGATGGCCCAAGTCCTTGGGCCCCTGCACCCACACGGAAGACCCGGAAGAAGCTCCTGGCTCCTGGCTCCTGGCTTCAGATCAGCTCAGCTCTGGCTGTTGAGGTCATTTGCGGAGTGAGCCAGCCCATGGAAGAACTCTCTCTCTGGACCTACCTCTCTCTCTAACTCTGTCTTTCAAATAAATAATTATTTAAAAAAATTTATTTTCAACAAAATATTTCTCCCATTCTCTATTTTAGATTACTTGGGATAATAACTAACATGTATAAAGTTGTCACATGCCAGACATGTTTTTAAGATTTTTAAATTTATTTTAATTTGTATTTGAATGAGACAGATGAGATCGTCTGTCCACCGATTCACCCCCCAATGCCTGCACAGCCAGACTGCAGCCGGGAGCCTGGAACTTTACCTGGGTCTCCCATGCAGCTGGCAGTTCCCAAATACTTGAACCACCTCCTGCAGCCTCCCAGGGTGCAAAATAGCAGGAAGCAGAGCTGGGACCCGAACCCAAGTGGGATGTGGGTGTTCCGAGCAGCACCCTAAACTACTTTTTCACCAAATGCCCACCCCTTGCCAGACACATTTATATGGGTTAATAGTTTATATTTACACACTTTGGGGCCATGTGCTGCACTTACCCCCAGTTTCTAGATGAGGAAATCAAAGCACACAATTACTTCGATCCTCATCTGGGCCCAGATGAATTTGAGCTTAGCAGTCTGCCCCCAGAGACTGGACTCAGCCTGGTGCTGTGGAGCGTGGCTCCTTCCGCTCTCCCCAGGGCAGTGAATTCCCGACAAATGCATTGCTTGGGGCTGGCAGTTCTAAGTTGTAGTTCAAAAGGCTTTGATCCCTATCTCTTTAAAAAAAATTACTTATTTGAAAGAACCCTAGAGAGATCATCCACCCTCTAGATCCCTCTCCAGATGGCCGCAATGGTCAGGCTTGAGCCAAGCCAAAACCAGCAGCTGGGAGCTTTATCTGGGTCTTCCACATAGGTTTCAGGGACCCAAACACTTGGGCCATCGTCCGCTGCTTTGCCAAGCCACTAACAGGGAGCTGCATCAGAAGTGGAGCAGCTATAGGATGCTAGCATTGCAGGCAGTGGCTTAACCCACCGTGCTACAACCTCGGCTCCCATTGAAGGATTTTGAGTCAAGGAACAGCTTTCCCTGAGTTTCCCTTTTTGAAGACACCTCCTGGCTGCTCTGCAAAGAGTCAAAGCGTGGAGACCAGGTAAGGACAGCCTAGTGCATGATGACAGCTTGAACTGGGCTGGTGGCTGGAGATACAGGTGGAGAGGATTTGAAAGCTGTTTGCAAGTCGATGGGGGTGGTGCACCTGGAGCTGAGAGAGGCAAGCACTGAGAGGTAGGGAAGGCTGGGGACAGAGGGAAGCAGTGGCCACTCACATCACTGGGCACACGCAGGAGGGAGGACGGAGGCCAGAGTCCTCGGGAAGAAGGAGAGAGCTCTTCTCTGCCGTGCCAGAACCAGACCAGTGCACGGTAACTGGAGAAAGGCGTCAGACTCCGAGGTTTGTCTTGCACATGGTGGAGGCTTTTAAGTGGGGCGATACTGGAGCATAGTGTTACTGACAATGACCCAGCAGAGAGAGAAAGTGACGGTTTTAGGAAAAAAACGAAGGCTGCACTCTGGAGAGGGTGCCAGGCTCCCCCCGTGGCTAAGCAGAAACTGGTAGTCCGTAAGATGCTCCTTGTTGCACAAGGGAGAGATGGAAAATGCAGATTAGATGTGGGTGGATCTGAGGTAGCCAGGGTGGAAAGATCAGGGCAGTTCTGTCTGAATAGTTCTAGTTTGTTCTGTTCTGTATTAGATGAGAAACGTGAAGGCTCAGAGATCCGTTAACTTGCCTGAGGTCATGTGCACTGGAAGGGGCTGAGCTGGATCTTCTGATTCCAGGCCTTTCCTCACCTGGGTCACCTTCTCTGCTGTTCCTTCCCCTCCGCAGTGTGGTGCCCGTGAATAATAATCTGTGCAACCCGAGTGCGATGAACCTCTCCGCTGTGGGCTTCACTGTTTGCACTTGTTGGTGCTGCCACAGACGGCAGTGAACGCCACAGGCCCTGAAATGTTCTTTCTCTGTTTCCATCCATAACCCCAGCTGCTGTTTCCTTTCACGGCACCATAATCTGAAGAGAAACCTGCTATGCTCTCCGCAGTTGCTGGGGCAGAGCAGGTGGATGGAGGGTGGAAGGTTCTAGCGGCATCTTCGCCGGTGAGGGCTGTGTCAGGCCCAGGGTCTCCCTCCCATTCACCAGCCTCGGGAGCCCTATTCATTTATCCTGGGAAGTGGCTGCAGGAGTGCAATGTGGCTGAAGTGTGGCTGGGGAGGTTTCCTAAGGTTCCCAGCACTGGAACAATTCTTTCATTTTTTTTTCTTAATTATTTGAGAGGCAGAGAGAGCTCCTATCTACTGGTGCATCACAGGCACCGCCTTGGGATGGAAAGATTGGCCATGGCTTCCGTAGACTATGACTTGGCATTCCCCCTGGGGAGTTCCCCATGAGCTGGATCCTGCCCTGGCTGTGGCTTCCCCTGTCTGCTCTTCTCCGTGGCCAGCTTCCTGCCCCCACTTTTCTGTTGTCCTAGGATGAGCTTTGCAGATCCCCTCCTCCCAGGGCACTCTCATGACCTGGGCAGCACTGTGTTGACCTGGCAGCACTCTGTGTGACTTGGGCAGCACTGTGTGTGACATGGGCAGCACTGTGTCTGACCTGGGAAGCACTCTTTGTGACCTGGGTACCACTGTGTGTGCCCTGGGCAGCACTGTGTGACCTTGCAGTGGAGGGAAATGCTGGTTCATGGGAGGCTCCCACAGGTTGTGAGTGCTGGCTGAGTTTTGCAGGCTACCTAGACATGACCCAGAAAAGGAAAGGAAGTGCTGTGTTTAACTTCTGAGAGGTAGAAATGAGCCTCATGCGTTTAGGGAACGGGATAAGCAAAGCGCAGAGCTTTCAGTGAGACAGGAGCTCCAAGGAGAGACAGGAAGTCAGTCATGGAGAGCCTATGTCTCCCGTAATTAAGTCTCTGGCCTACACCTTAGGCCACAGCCATTCCCTTCCATTAAATGCCGATGCTGTTTTTAACACAGCCATGCATAAGGGAGCCTAAGGCAGCTGACTTTCCTCTCACCTGTATTAGCTGGACACTGTTGTCTGCTCTAGAGTTGTTTCAAAATAATAAAGTGCAGGGACACAGTTTGTGTGCCTGAGTCTGGTGTTTCGATGGGTGCTGACTAGCAAACTGGGGCACAGATACAGGGACACGGCTCTCAGCTAGAGCTGGCTGCGTTTTTAGGAAAAAAGTATAAAGTCCAATGCCTAGGTACAGAGATAGTACAATAGCAAGAGAGAGAAGTTCAACACAGCGTGTTACAGTATCTAGTAACTCTTTATTTCCACCCAAGACTGTCTGTCCCGCTGGGACTCACTGCCACCCGTGTCTGATGCTGCGCCTGCCTTTCCCCTCGGAGACGGAGGCGTGGACCACGTTCTGCTTACGTCACCAAAGTCTTCCTCGCTACCCGCCAAGCGCCGTGCCTCTGACTCTATCAGACCTTATCAATGTTTCAGGACTGGAAAACCGCGATATTTGCATCTGCAAAACAATGCATGACTTTAGGACTGTAACAGGCTTTAAAGCAGAACATACATGCTCTTTCTGCTTCTCCCAATGTTTTTCTGATTAAGATTTTATAATTTTACTCCCATTCATGTTTTCACAGAAACCTGCACTCTGTGCCTGAGTGTCTCTCTTTTAGAATTTACTTATTTTTAAAATGTTTATTTATTTATTTGAAAGGCAGAGTTGGGGGGGGAGAAAGAGAGAGAGACAGACATAGAGAGAGAGAGAGAGAGACCTTCCATCTGTGGGTTTACTCCCCAGATGGCTGCAATGGGCAGAGCTGGGCTGTCCTGAAGCCAAGAATCAGGAGCTTTTTCTGGGTCTCCCATGAGGGTGCAGGGGCCCAAGCACTTGGTCTGTCTTCAGGCTCATTAGCAGGGAATTGGATTGGAAGTAGAACAGCTGGGACTTGAACCAGAATCCATATAGGATGCCGGGGCTGCAGACGGCAAATTTACCTGCTACACCACAGTGCTGGCCTCCGTGATTCCATTTTCTTTACTGATTAAAAATCACTTGAGGGGGTAAGCATCTGGTGTGGTGGTTAAGAAGCCACTTAGGATACCCTGAACCCACATCTGGGTGTTGGGATTCACATTGTAGCTCTGCTCCTGATTCTAGCTTCCTGGAATGCGCAGCTTGGGAGGCAGCAGGTAATGGCTCAAGTGACCGTGTCCCAGAACCCACATGGGAGATTTGGATGGAGTTCTGAGCTCCTGAGCCTGGGCCTGCCCTGGCTATTGCAGATACTTGGAGAGTGATCCACCCAAGCTTAACTCCACCAGGCACAGACTTTTGGGGAACCCCCGTGTCCCCATGCACTCACACAGTCCTAGCGGAGAAGCAGGTAAATAGTTCCAGGCGTGCAGGTGCGTGCTGCGGGGACACATGATGGCACATGAGCATGCGGGGCTGCGTCCCAAGGGCTGGGAACAGAACCCACACAGCCCAAGGTTAGAGGCAGCCCCAGGTGTCTGAGGGGTGGGGCAGCCTGCCCACAGGCCAGGGGGTCCAGGGAGCAGTCTGCAGAGGCAGCTTTAGGTCAGTTCCAGAGGCACATTTTATGTCAGCTCACAGAGTGCACACACAACAGCTAACTTACATTACCCAGAATGCTCTCAATCAGCCAGTGTAAGGAACAGTAAGACAACAGAGAGAATGAGAACAAAAGAAAGACAACTTAATTACTTGTGGGCTGCAAAGATCCAGACACTGAGGATCTCACTGGGATCTGAGGGTGCCATGGTCAACCTGCATTAGAACTGGGGTCCAGATCTCCAGGACAGGACCAGCCCCATTCATTCATTCCTTCTCTCTCTCTGCCCGCCCCCAGCCCCTTCTCTCACATCTCTGTCCCTTGGACTCCAACTCAGACACAGGCTCCCTTCCCAGGAGAGAGGGCTCCCACCATCCTGGCATTCACAGCCCCCACTGGAAGCCCTCCGGATGGAGAACTCTTCCTGGTACCTCTGTCTCCGGCCCGGCAGAGCCCTGGCATGGACGCTACCTGCATTATGAGCTCATCCAGCTCAGGCACTGTGACCAGGGGTGGCCACCCAGGGGGCTGTGCCTGTGTCCCCTGCCCTTCCTGGCCACGGGTGAGGGTGATGTTTTGGGTCTCGTTGCCCCACTAAAGAGGCATTGTGTAGACACTTTCTCTGTTGATGAGTAACCTGGCTGTCACTGGTTCTGCATGTCCACCCCATTAGCACATGGTCCCCAGCAGCCTTTAGCTGAGTACAAGGGCTCTCATCAGCTTGATAAAACACATCAACACACGTGCAGATTATTTATCACCACACCCAGTGAACCAAGTTTGACAAAAGTCTGTGACACCTCTCTGAGGACAAGCAAAACTCCTTTACTTCACTGATATCAGATTTGGAGGGAGAAAGAAAGCTTGGTTCTGGGGACTGGTGTATGGCACAGCGGGCTAAGACACTGCTTATGATGCCAGCATCCCATACTTGAAGTGCCTGTTCAAGCCCTGGCTCCAAGCCAGCTCCCTACTAACACACCTGAGAAACCAGCGGCATATGATCCAAGTACCTGGGCACCTGCAACCCCTGTGGTAGACCTGGGTGGAGTTCTAGGCTTTTTAAAAAGGTTTATTTTTTGATTATTTTATTTTATTTTTTGACAGGCAGAGTGGACAGTGAGAGAGACAGAGAGAAAGGTCTTCCTTTGCCATTGGTTCACCCTCCAATGGCCGCCGTGGCCGGCGTGCTGCGGCTGGCACCCTGCGTTGATCAGATGGCAGGAGCTAGGTACTTATCCTGGTCTCCCAGGGTGCAGGGCCCAAGGATTTGGGCCATCCTCCACTGCACTCCCTGGCCACAGCAGAGAGCTGGCCTGGAAGTGGGGCAACTGGGACAGAATCTGGCGCCCCTACCGGGACTAGAACCTGGTGTGCCAGTGCCGAAGGCAGAGGATTAGCCTAGTGAGCCGCGGCGCTGGCAAAAAAGATTTATTTTTTTGAAAGGTAGAGTTACAGAGAGAGAGGGAGGAATACAGACAGACAAACAGACAAGACATGCACACACACACACAGACACACAGAGTAGAAGGGGAGAGGGAGAGGGAGAGAGAGAGAGACAGAGATACAAAGAGAGAGGTCTTACATCTGCTGGTTCACTTCTCAAATAGCCACAATGGCAAGGGAAGTGCCAGGTGGAAGCAGGAACCAGGAGCTTTCTGGGTCTACACTGTGGGAGAAGCAGCCTAAGCATCTGGGTCATCTTTCGCAGCTTTCCCAGGCACATTAGCAGGGAGCTGGATTGGAAGTGGAGCAGCCGAGACTGCAAGCCAGCAAGCCATATGGGATGCCAGTACTGCACCGCTGGCTGAACCCATTACACCACAGTGCCTAGCCCCGTAGGCTCCTGGCTTTAAACTGACCCTCCCTAGCTGTTGCGGCCATGTACGAAGTGAACCAGAGGATGGAAGATCAATCCCTCTCTGTCCACGGATCTCTCAAATAAATAAATCTTAGAAGAAACTGTTATGCCCAGATCGACTGAATCCCCAAAAATCACCAGAGACTTGATCTCACCGAAATGCAAAAGCAAGGTTTACTCTGGAAGTATAAGCTGCGGCAGGGACCTCATCTAACCAACCGACGCAGTGGAGGTCAGAGGAAGGCCCTGAGCTTTGTTCGGGAGCGTTTTTAAAGGACAAAGCTGCAGTGTTACATCAGCAAGGGTTTGGGGTACAGGGCTACAGTAGATTGAACGGTGCCATTCCTGGTAGCTCTTGGTTGGACGAGTCTGATCCTGATTGGCTCAGGCCCAGGGCATTTCCTTATTTGGTTTTGGTAACTGTTGAATGTTTGCATTTACGGGAACTTGGGCCTGCTCCAGAAAATGGAGGCTACTTTTTAAAATGGAGGCGCCTTGGCTCTTCAGAATTTAGGCGCCAGTGCTGTGGCATAGCAGGTAAAGCTGCCACCTGTGACACTGGCAACCCATATCAGGAGGCTGGTTTGAGTCCCGGCTGCTCTGATTCTGATCCAGCTCCCCGCTAATGTGCCTGGGAAGGCAGAGGAAGATGGCCAACTACTTGGGGCATTGCCAACTGAGGGGAGACCTGGATGGAGTTTGGGTGCCTGTCTTCAGACTGGCCTAGTCTAAGCCATGGTAGCCATTTGTGGGGGGGGGGGGGGCAGGGCAGGTGAACCAGTGAATGAAAGTTCTCTCTCTCCCCCTCTTCCTCTCTCTCTCTGTCTCCACCGTGTGTGTTTATTGTCTCCCTGTATCTGTAACTCCACCTTTCAAATAAATTGTTTTAAAAATAAAAACAGTCTAATAAGACATTTTCTTAGCAGTTTCCTTTGGGATTTACACTGAATTGAATTCTTGGGGCAGTGCCCACAGAGATTCCGCCTCCTCATTTAGTCCAGCGTGGACAAGATAGGACTTTCCAGCAGCATGTTCAGGCTACTGCTGAGCAGAGCTGGGGGACACAGAGTCCTCAGGGCCATCACTTACCTTGGGGAGATGAATTTTCTAAACCACATGGGTCTGCAAGGCTCCCACCAGCACTGGGGAGGAGTGATGAGAAGGAGAGCTGTGGTGTGTCTCTCGTCCTTGCCGACGCTGTTTTGCAGTCCGGATGGGAACTCTGTTTTTCCTCGAACTGGGTTACTTGAAGGGACTTGGAAAACCTCATGGAAAATGGAAATAAAGGATGAGCTTATTTGTTGCAGTTTTTGAAATTCACGCATAGGAGAGGGGATACAAACATTCACGGGCAAAGTATGTTAAGGACAAACTATGCACAGGTTTTCAAAAGTTTTTGCACCTAAATAAATTTTGAATTCTATATCTGGTGATGTTTTGGTAGTATCCTGAGTTTCATCTTTATTTGATCTGCCTTCAAAAACTCCAACCTTATTACAAAGATGAGTTTTTACCTGTGCTTAATGGAAAACAGTCCCCAACGTCTTCATAATTTAATTTTTTTGACTTTTGTAGCAAAACTGTAGTGAGAATTCCTGGGGTGCTGGTTCTTTCCTCTCAGCCCTGAGGAGGTGACCAGCACTGCAGGAAATCATGGAGAAATCGCACTTGTGCAGTGTCCCTGGACATCCTGGAGGAGGGGGTCATCTCCCCAGGGAGGGGTTCCTCTCCCAAGAGGGTGTGGGCAGTCGGTGCAGAGGGACCATCATGTGTTCCTGGGGCCCATGGCTGTGCTGGGCCCTGGGGGGCTCCTCAAGAACTGCAGGAGACACAGATCCACTTGCTATGTGGGGGCAAGGGTTACCGGGCTCACTTCCTACCTGAGATGAGTGTGGGGAGCAACTCGGACTAGACTAAGTTACTGGAATTAAGACTTATTCTATGCATCTGCTCTCCCACAATATGGCGCTGGGAGAGAAGAAACAGCTTCTACACAGCTGCCTCCAGTTCAGCCAATAAACTGTAGGACTTGCTCCTGATTGGAGGAGAGCAGCGTACTGGCGTGTGGGTAGCAGAGTTGGGATTGGTGGAAGAGGACTATAAAGGAGGAGAGAGACGGCATGCACCAGGAACATCTAAGGGGAACATCTAAGGGGAACACCTGTGCAGCCCCCGCGAGAGCCGGCCGGCGGTTGTGCTGCTCCCCCGCGGAAGTGGGGAATGTGGGCAGGGGGAACCGCCCTTCACGGAGGTGGAAGGGACGGTAGCCACCCCCGGGAAGAACAGCAGCAAACCCGGGGAGGGCCGAGCAGACGAAAGAACAGCGCAGGGTCCTGTGTCGTTCCTCCACGAAGACGGGGAGCGACATAATGGTGCCGTGACTCGGATATGAAGCCTAGGCAGGGTTTAGTGTCGTTCCCCCATGAAGACGGGGAGCGACAGATGAGTTTCGCTTCCTTGGGAGAAACACTGCTCCTGAGGGCTCAGCACGAAGCTGTCCCAAGGAGACAGATGTGAGGCTGTGATGCGGCCATCGTCCCGTCCTAGTTCTGGGCAGTGCAGGACCTGAGGAGTTGAAGCAGGGAGTTTCTCCTTTTTTCCTAAGTTGCATTCTATGTGTGTGAGAGTGAAGAGGGGAAAGAGAGAGTGCTAGTGAGAGAGAGAGAGAGAGAGAGGAGAGGGATGGAGGGAGCTAGGGAGAGGGAGCTAGGGAGCTCCTCCATCCTCTGATACAGCCCATAAATGACCTCCAGGCCTTGGCCAGGCTGAAGCCAGGAGCCAGGAGTTTGGTGGTTGTTGTTACAGGAGCCCAAAAACCCCAAGTGCCTGGCAGTGCCTCGATTCCTCCCTACCGGGTGGAGGACAGTCTCAGAGGATGTAGCTTTCTCGGCTGCCTCTGATTGGGCCTTCCATGTTTGGACTGCACAGACCCCACTACCTTCTGGGCTTCCAGGGTTTCTGCCAAGAAATCTGACGATGACTTAGGGGGAAAGGGTGACAGAGCCACCTTCCTCTCAGCTCTGGAGGTGCGAACAGTGTACCTGGCGGTGTCTTGGGCAGCAGAACACTTGTTGAGTTTACCGAGCCAGAGATGTTGTTCCATCATTCTGAGACCCATCACTCAGAGAGTAAAGACAAAGGAGGGGCTATACTAAGTGGAGACACTAGGAGGTCTTCAAAAGATGCAACGTATCATCATATTAAATAGTAAT